TTAAGCCATTTTTTTAAATTTTTAGACACACCTAACATAAATACACTTAAAAAGTATAATATTTGTGATTTTTTTTTTTAAAAATACATTAAATACCAAAAAATACAAAAAAAAAAAAAATGAAAATTCAGTATTTTATTTGTATTTTTGTGTATTTATTAATTTTTTAAAATATTTTTTCACAAATATTTCACTATTTAGATACATCTAAGTAAGGTGCATATAAAAAAGTAAAAAAATTACTTAAAATTTAAAAAATATTCACTAAAAACAAAAAAATACGACAAAATAAAAAAATTCAGTTTTAAAAAAATTGAATTCAACCAAACACACTAATTAATTTTTTTTTTTTTTTTTTATGTTTTGTGAAATCAATTGTAAAAATTTGCACGAAATATTTTTGTAAAAATCATTATAATTAAAAAATATCTCTTTTAATTTAATTTTCTGACCCGCCACTGAATGTATGCCACTGAATGTATGGTAGACTCTACAAGCCGGAATATGATGTTCAAGTTCGTATTAGAACTAGAAAGAAGCCTAACACTATTTGTAAATAAAGATTCTAACGAATCAGGTTGTTCAGCTCATTTAATTTTTTTTTGAGATTGTCTCATTTAAAACTTGTGAACACAAAGAATATAAATTTATTTTAATAATATATGAAGTATATTTTATTTCTTTATTTATGTTTTTGTGTTTATGTGAATTTATATTTTTGATTGATGAAATTTATTATTAATATGATTATTTTTTTATATTTTATTTATAATTTTCTCTTAATCTACAAATTAATTTAAGTTTGATTATTTTTTCTTCAAGCTTGAGCTTGCTCAACTGGTTAGTAATCAAGTTGACTTGAGTGGAGCTCAAGTTTCTAAGAGCATCCCCAGCAGCCTACTTAAATTTTACTCTAAATATTATTGAAAAATTCATTCTCTATTTTAAGAATCATTTTTTCATTTTCTTCTTCCAACAAACTCCCTATTCTTTTCTTAAAATATTATTAAAATATTCTTTCTTTATTCTTTTATTTTTTCATCTTCTTCTTGGATTTTCTGAACTGGGATGGTGTTCACTCACGTTCTTTGACAAATTGAAATATATATATACCCAGGTCCTTTGACAAATTGATATATTTACTCAAGTTCTCTTTCTCCATCTATCACTGTTTGTGTATATCTATACAATACATGCTTCAATTATTTGGTTTAGTTGAGGATAGACAGAGTAAAGCAGAGCAGTGAAGGGGGTGGTCGACCGGCCGGACGTCTGGGTGGATGACCGGCGAAGCAAGTTTTGGCTAATTCACTCAGATATAAGGGAGTTACAATGACTCCTTACAAATAGGGAGTCATTGTAGCAAATATTAGTTTAGGGAATTGTTTAGGGGTTCTGCTGGAGGTGTATAAAACGATTTCAACTACTTAAAATAGGTAAGGGATGGGTTTGGAGAGATTGCTGGGGGATGCTTTACAACCCTATTTATAATCACTTGTAACTCTATTTATAAACACTGCAGGGATAGTTTTGAAAAACTAAGGCTTTGTTTAGTAGAGCTTTGAAACTTTAGTTTCAGTTATTGGTTCTCACGTGGTGTTTGTTTACAGCTTTTAAAAATTAATTATAAGCTCACTTTTGAAAACTCGGTCAAGGCGGAAAAATTTGGGTTAACTGATCGTCCGGCCTGTTAATCGGAACAGTGTAATTTTTTTTTTTTTTTTTTTTTTTTGTAGTTGACACAAGTTAATTTTTATATATTCAACAAAAAATATTTTCCCAATTTTTTAAATTTTTTTATTAGTTTTTATAGAATTTTGAGTTGTGTATTTGATTATAATTTATAAGTTTTTGTATCAAATATCATATGCTACATCAAAAATTCCTCACTCAATTAAAAACTTTTTTCAAAATTCTTTTCAAAACTCATTCACCAAACAAATTTTTCACACTCAAATTATAATTTCAAAATTCACGAATTCAAAATACTATTCTCAAATCATATTTAGAAAGCTCTACAAAACACTACCTAAACAATTTTTTTACTTATTGTTCAAACAGAAGTATATCTTACTCTTTTGTGTTTTTTGGTTTCACTCTTAAATTTAATTTATGAAATTGTATTCTATTTATTATGTAACACTCTAAAATTTCATTAAGGGGATTAAATTGCCATTTACGTGCAATTGTATTAGCCAAACAATCAGTAGTGGAATTTTAAAAAGCAAAATCAGACAAGTAGATATTACTTTTATTTATTTATTTGTTTTTTTACGCTTAAATTCACGTTTTAACCACATTACTTGATGGAATCGAACTTATTATTTGACATTAAGATTTCACTATGAGGTTAAATTAGCATTTGTGCACATTAAGATTCCATGTAATGGAGCGTTATTGGCCTATTGTAATAATCTATATTAACATCTTACTGCAAAGATAAAAAAAATTACACGGTTAGATGTTGCATTCAACTTATTATTCGACACTCTTGTGCACGGTAAAGTCTAATTATCTATTTTAATCACAATTGTAACAGTAAAAATAATCTTTTATAATTTTTTTTAAAACACATTTGTATGATTAAAACATCCACCAAATTTCATGCAAAAAAATTCAAAAGGTTTGGGAGATAAAAATCAAACAAGAAAAAAGTGCTAAAATTAGCAGAAATGGGAGTCCAGACTCAATTTTCTCAAAAACTATTGAAGTTATTTTGGAAGTTAAAATTCCTTACCGTTTGGACTGTAAGAATCTTCATAGAAAATAGGAGAAAAACTATACGGTACATCAGGATTTAAAAATTTAACTTTTATTCTTAGATATATTATATTTAATACCAATCTTGTTTAAAACATCTGGAAAATAAAATTTGAAAAATATAAATTTTAGGAAAAATTACGCATAAATTTCATTTGGAGAAATATTAGTCCATTTAGTCTCACATGTTTTTTTATAAACTAATTAGTCATTTTCATTCGTAGTATATGTTATTGATTTGATTTAGTAATATTAAAGTTTACTTGTTTACCTTTGTTTAAGCTTTGGTTTTGATATTTTTTTTGGGATTTGGGTGTATGTGGGTAAAGTATGATTTAACATTTTCATTTTTTTAGGAATTTTGTGGAATGATTGTGGGGATTGTTGATGTTACTTACTTGGTGTTAGCCTAAAATGATTATATAAATTTTAATTGATAAAAAATAGTGGGTTTCATATCCACAAAGCGTATTAATCCACTAAAAAGTGTACTTCAAGGTAATATTCAAACGCAACACTCCAATGTAACATTAAAAAAAAAATCTTAGTGCAATATCCTAATATAACACTTAAAAAAATTCATTATTGTAATTTTCTCAAACGTAACACTCTAATATAACACTCCAAAATAACTCCTTAGCGTAACACTCTAATGTAATACACAAAAAGACTCCTTAGTGTATTTTTTCCGAACGTAACACTCTAATATAACACTCCAAAAAACCTTCTTAGTGTAACACTTTAATATAACACACAAAAAAAATTCCTTAGTGTAGGTTTCCTAAATATAACACTCAAATATAATATTCTAAAAAAAATTCCTTAATGTAACACTCTAATATAACACATAAAAAATCTTTAGTGTAACATTCTAATATAACACAAAAAAAAAAAAAAAAACTCTTTACTGTATTTTTTTCAAACGTATCAATTCAATATAACACTTCAAAAAAATTTATTTGTGTAGCACTTTAATGTAACACACACACACACAAATTCTTAGTGTACTTTTCTCAAATGTAACGCTCCAATGTAACATAATAAAAATAAATAAAAAAAGTTTAGTGTACTTTTCCAAAACGTAACACTCCAATGTAACATTAAAAAAGAAAGGATGTAAGATTTTTCAAACCATTCCGAAATGAGTACAAATATTCCTTAGTAAGTTTTAGACAAATGTATAATTTCAAACTGTGAGTGTTATGTGTGGAAAAAATACACTAAGAAGTTTTTTTTAATGTTTTTGTGTGTTATATTAAAGTGTTACGTTTGAGATTACACTAATTGGAGTGTTACGTTTGAAAAAAGTACAATAAAGATTTTTTTTTTGTTTTTTCGGTGTTATATTGGAGCGTTACGTGCGGGAAAATATACTATTTTTTTTTTTTGTGTGAGTGTTACGTTGTTATATTTAGAAAAAGTACACCAATGGATTTTTTAATGTGTTACATTTAAGTATTACGTTATTGGAATGTTACATTAGAGCGTTAGATTTTTATTCGTAACGTGGGACTTATTTTAGAATGAGGGAAAATCCAAAACTTCTATAGTGCAAATTGTCTAAATGTGTAATTTTATATTTTGAGAAACCCACTTTTATCCCTAAAAGTTAAATCCAAATATGTAAGTGGCTATCATTTTACGTAATTTTCACTTTACTGAGATCTTTGGATTCATAAGAAAAAAGGAGGATTAAACAGTTTACAAGTTCATATTTTGGGACTTATTGATGCTTCACCCTAAATTTTATTTTAAATTAACAAGAGAAATTTTTTAAAGTTTCAACGGAAAAAAGGTAAATAACAGTTCAGTATTAATTTGAAAAGGAAAAAATTCAAATCAATGATAAATTTTACAAATTTGAATCACTAAAGTTATAGTGGTGGGGTTATATGCACCAATTAATATATATACTAGTGAACCAACTAGTATTGACCCCGTTTGGTAGAGTTGTGGAAAAGTGATTATAGATTATAATGTATAACTGTGAACATAAGCTGTTAACCTGTTTGGTGCAGCTGTGGGATTAGGAATTTAAGCAGTAGAGTAGTGTTTGGTTGACAAGTTGTAAAATAACTTTTTGATGTGTAATTTTTACCTTTATATAATATAAAAAGGGCCATTTACATACAAGTCCCATTTTGTGAACTTATGATCCATTAAGTCCTAGATAAAATTATTTGCTCCTTCAGGTCCCATTAATTTTTAATAAACTAATTTACCCGTCTAACAAACTTCAGGCAAACTGTCTCTGATCCCCATGGCCTTGCTCGAGATCTCAATGTCTGGATGAACTTGCTTCAATACCTTGAAGATGTAGATCTTGTAGGTCCTTCTTCTTCTTCTTCGTCTTCTTCTTCTTCTTCTTCTTCTTCTTCTTCTTCTTCTTTTTGTCTTCGGCAACTGCTCCGCCCTTCTTGGGTAGCTTCTACCCCGCCTTCGGCTTCTTCTTCGCCGGAGCTTTCTCGGTGATGGTGCTCTTCTTCTTCGCTGCCGGCTTCTTCTCAACATCATTATTGTGCACAATATTAGGGACGATGGTTTCAATGATGGTTTCATCACTTCCTGAATCTTGAGGGATATCAGAAAGATTCAGGTCAATCATAGTCTCGGGTTGAGGCTTCTCAAAAGATGGTTTTGTGACTTAGATCTTGATCACTCTCGTGTGGGTTCTCCTGAGCCAAAGAACTACAAGATGATAAAGTTTGAGATTGAGAGAGAGATCTAGGGTTTTTTCAAATTGAGAACCTTTTCAGTTTATAATATTCTCAATTTTAATTATGAAAAAAATTGAGAAATTTCTCAAAATTGATAATTATAAATTTTTTAGTTTTGATAATATTCTTAGTTCATATTAGAAAAAAATTGAGAAATTTCTTAGTTTTGTTAATTATAAATTGAGAAAATTTTCAGTTTTAAAATTGAGAACATTCTCAGTTTTGGGATTAAAGGGCAAAATGTCTTTTTACCTATAAATAGGACTTATTGGTTCAAATTTTTTTTGACAGGACCTAAGCTACCACCAAATATGTAGATAGGACTTTTTGGTAATTAATCCATATAAAAATGATTATTTTGTCATTCTTTTCAGTTTTAATTTTTTAAAAAAATTATTTCATTAATAAAAGTTAATATAATTAGTATTACATAAATAATTATTTCATAAATTGTTATTTTCATTTTTTCATTATAAATCAATTAGTATAGAATTATTTCATTTTTTCATTTTAAATTAATTAGTGTCAATTAATGGCTTATTTTTATTTTTTCATTATAAATTATTATTTCCAATTTTTCATTATAAATCAATTAGTATAATTTTTTTTTCATTTTTTCATTATAAATTAATTAGTGGCAATTAATGATTTAATAAGCATCAACTAATAGCAAAATTATTAATAGGATCAATTAGTATAATTTTTTTTTTTCATTTTTTCATTAGAAATTAATTAGTGGCAATTAATGATTTAATAAGAATCAATTAATAGTAAAATTATTAATAGGATCAATTAGTATAATTTTTTTTTATATTTTCATTATAAATTAATTAGTGGCAATTAATTGTTTAATATGCATCAATTAATAGTAAAATTATTAATAGGATCAATTACTATAAATTTTTTTTAATTTTTTCATTATAAATTAATTAGTGGCAATTAATGGTTTAATAAGCATCAATTAATAGTAAAATTATTAATAGGATCAATTAGCATAAATTTTTTTTTTCATTATAAATTAATTGGTGGCAATTAATGGTTTAATAAGAATCAATTAATAGTAAAATTATTAATGGTATAAATTAGTATAATTTGTTTTTTATTTTTTCATTATAAATTAATTAGTGTCAATTAAAATTATTAATTAGCATCAATTATTATTTTTCATTCATTAATTATTATTATTATTTTTTATTAAAAAGAACACTGAAAACCTCCAACGACAAAAAAAAAAAAAAAAAAAAAACTGAAAACCCTAGCTCCGGCGGGACAAACCGGTGCTAGGGTTTCAGATTGACCGACAGAGAGAGAGAGAGCCAAAGAGAGATTGACCGTCAGTGTCGATCGCGAAGAAGGAGAGAGAGCTAGGGTTACGCTGTTGATCGCGATGGTTCAAATCGCGCCGTCGGCGTCGATCGCGAAGAAGGAGAGAGAGCTAGAGTTCACGCTGTCGATTGCGATGGTTCAAATCGCGCCGCCGGCGTTGATCGTGAAAAGGAAGAGAGAGCTAGGGTTCACGTTGCCGATCGCGATGGACACCGGAGAGAGAGAGAGAGAGAAGAGACAAAGCTCAGTCCCCAGAAATCGACATGCTCGTCGAAAATCGCCCTAGCTCGCCGGAAATCGCCTCTCTCGTTTGTGTGAGAAAGGAAGAATGAGTGAGAAATGGTTTATATACATGGCACACTTGTAATTAGCATCAATTAGGAAGGGCATTTAAGTCATTTTACACCTCCCATTTCCACTTGTCGTATAAGCTGAAATCAAGAAGTACCCCCTGAGGTGCTTACAAATTTAAGCTGAAAATAGCTTAATAAAAGCTATAAGCTATCCTTTTAAGTTTTGCCAAACACACCAAAATAACTTAATTTAAGCTAAAAGTTGATTTAAGCTTCTTTTAAGTGTTACCAAACAGCCCCATTATGTCATTATTACTGACTTCACAAATTATACAAATTACGAATATCCAAAACTTTTTAAATTATGCCATATCATCTGTTAATATACCAGTTAGTATATTAATTAATACATATAATATTACTTAAGTTATAAACTTTACAATGAATCAGTAATTATTTTTGAGGAATAACTTTTTTCAAAAAAACACAGAAAGAAGTCAACTATGACAAAATGGACGTCAAAACTATTACAAAATGGCCTTGCACAAAATGCATTGGATCTAACATAAAATAAAAAATACATGCCAATGTCTATAAATCCAAAACAATTATTATTATTATTATTATTGATGATACTACTTGTCCTTGGAGGACGGGTCGGGTTGATCCACGCCCCCAACACCGTTGTCCAGTCACTGGGATCACTGAGATACCTACACAAAAGTCCAACGGGGAACGAGAGTCCCCCAGCGAACCCTCCAACAAGCAAGTTAGAAGAGAGAGAGATTAATGGTGTGTAGAAAATAGAGTAATGATAGGGAACTTAACCTTCTTTTTGTCTTAGAAACCTTCTTATATCCTTTGTTCATCATTTCCTTGTCCACTCCGACCTGTCATGTTGGCCGAAAGTCTATGCTCTAGCTTGCCTTGTTCATGGTGAGGTTGTTCTATTTCGATGTGAAGGGGTTATTGCATTAAAAGTTGCAGGGGACCTCATTAATGGCTGATGTGTGGTGCAATAACTCTACATGATCTTTGTCTGCTTACGTGGCTGGTTTTCCTCTTGACAAATGTTTAGATGCCATTGATTCTTGGTACAATGTTGGGTTCTAGTAATGTTAGGCTTTAGTATTTGAACCGTGTATTAGGCTCTAAATGGTGGGCCAAAAGCCTTTATGGTCCCACTTATGTCAGTAGTCCCTCATTCCCAAGTGCAGTTTCAGTCCAACGAAGGGAATAAGGAAGAAGACGGGGATTGTGGGTGGCCAAGTGAGAGAAGATCGATTGGGAGGAGAGCCGACCGCAAAGAGCGACTAAGCTAGAAGATCGACTGGGAGGAGGGCCGACCGCAAAGGGTGACTAAGCGAAAGACTGACTAGAAGGATGGCTGATCTCCAAGGGTGATCGAGTGAGAGTATGGCGGCGCGCGGGGCTCGAGGAGCGGCGGGGCACGTGGTGATGTGAAGTGGAATAGACAGGGAAGGGGAAGAGAGTAATGAATCATGGTCGCACACGTGGCATGATCCCGTAATAAGGAAGGTGATGCGTTAGCAGGAAGTGAAGGGGTAGACTAATATAGGGCGTCGAAAAGGCGGGGGCGGAAGTTTTCGAAAATTTTCAAACTGGCAAAATTTAATCTCGATCCTTGGAATATAGACAAACCATGGGAATTTGGAGTCATTCGTTTTACTTACCTTGTCGCGAAAAACCAACACATCCCAGAGCTGCACTTGTTTGTTTCGTGTGACACGCCGCTGCGACACTTTGCAAACTTCCTTATGCCAGCATCTGAAGCGATACGCAGACATGTAGAAGGGTTGGCCCGAGATGAAGTGCCAGCCACGAGGTTAGATGCATTGGGAGAGGACGACGCAGTGAGGTTGACTGAATAATACAGAGTAGAGAGGAGGGAGGAAAGGAGGGTTTGGCAAGCGGTGCGGGCTTGCCCAACGACGACGATCATAGCTGCTAGGCCGATTAGACAAGTGGAATCGGACCACTGGCACACCAAGGCCGACAAGTCTACGTTTACGGCAGAAGAGTTGAAGAAGGTACGAAGGAAGTACCAAATTTCGACGGAGATAGAGCTGAGGTTGCCGACGTCTAAGGAGAGGGCGTCAGACGCACGACCGATGGAATTCACGTTCTAAGAAGAGGCATTGCTATGGAGGTGCTGAGGCTACCGCTTCCCCAAGTAGTGGTGGACGTACTGAATCGACTGGAGGTGGCGCCAGGGCAGCTGATGCCCTACGCATGGAAGATACTAATGGCCTGCGCGGTCGCATGGCCACAGGTGATCGGGGGGCGGCTATGATGGTGGAGGAATTCTTCTCCTGTTACAAGGCCTCCGGTCAACAAAAAGCGTGGGTGACCTTGCAGGCGGTGGCGAGCTGTGGTCTAGTGGCTGGCTTGCCATCTTCGGTGAAGGGGTGGAGGCCGAGATGGTTTTATGTATCAGTGAACGGTGGGAGAGGGATTCGCACAATGTGGAAAGTCCCCACAAAGTTAGTGGAGACAAGGCTAGATGCGGAGGCTAAGAACAGGGTGAAGAGGGTGAAGGAGTGACGTGAGAAAGAGGGGGTGAAGTGGGATGACTTGATCCGATCTTCAACCCTGTTTGCCTTGAGCCTAGGGCCGCAACTAACGGATGAGGATCCGGCGCGGAAAGAGTTAGAGGCAGGGAGGAAGGCGAAGGAGGCGGAAGAGCAAAGAACGTTCACCAAAGCGGACAAGTATAAGGAGACAAAGTTGGGGCTTGAGCCTAAACTGGTGATGAGGGAGCGGGTCCGACCGCGTCCCAAATCGTTGGGAGACAAAGACCTAACTGACTTTGCCCCACTGCCGCCCCCAGTAGACCCGTTCAAGGAGAGGGGCAAACAGGAGGTGGAGGCAGTGTTAAAGAAAACGAAAAAAAAGAGGGCGGCGGCAGAGGGGAGTAAGGACGCCCCTGTTTTGAAGAAGATGAAGGAGGGTAGGGCGGAGGAGGCTCCAGAAAGAGAGACCGCCTAAGTGGCGAAAGAAGACATAGGCCCAAGTGCCCAAGACGTGGGCTCAAGTGCCCAAGCGATGGCGACGGTAGGGCCTGTAGTAGAAGTATCTCCTAGTCCTGGTGGAAGACTGGGGTTAGCAAACCAGAGACAAGTGTCACGTTAAAGATCGCAATGTACCACGCGCGCGCGCTAGCACGTCACTCGGTAGAAGAAGGGGGGGAAGCCAGGGTTGCTGTCGACCGTCTCGTTGGAGTAGTGAAGGATGCGGCCGTGCAATCAATGGCGCGACTGATAGAAGCTGACCTCCTGAAAGGGTTTTGCTCAGCGCAGATGGAGGCGACAACCCTAGCAGTTGCCCTGATGAATAAGGCAGCATGCGCGAGAATGGAGGAAGAGCCTCTAAGGGCCCAGCTGGAAGGAGTGAAGGCGCAGCTTCAAAATTTACGGGCGG